GCTAAGTGACCCTATGTAGGAGGAACAGTCCCTGAGTGGAGTATCTGCTTGTAACATTTATATGCACTGAAAAAAAAAATTGAAAAAAAAAAAATGAATGCAGTTTCCGAATTAATCTAAAATGGATGCTGTCCAGTAGGTGGGAGGATCTACTAGGGAGGGTGTGCTGCTGATTGGCTGGAATGTGTCTGCTGACTGTGAGGCACAGGGTCAAAGTTTACTCAATGATGACGAATAGGGGGCGGATCGAACCGGTCATATGTTCGCCCACCGTGGCGAACGCGAACACGCTATGTTCGCAGGGAACTATTTACCAGCGAACCGTTCGGTACATCACTATTAAAGGGTGGACAAGGTGAACCTATTTATCTGTGTACACTTTTTCTTTATCCTAGTATATTCACTTATATACTAAATCCTGTATCTATATCACTCATAGACACCTTACTCTAATCCTGTCTAGTTCCCTTACTAGACTATTTCTCTGTCTAGTTTTCTTACTAGACTATTTAACGGGACCTTACGGAAACTAAGTCACATAAAATATCTAAACTACACAACCTTTCCAAATTGATTATAGACTTACAAAACCATGGGGATCATAGATTCAGGGCGTCAAATAGACACAAGGAATTACTACTCACCCGCAATGGTTTGGCTACAATCCCACTTTGACACCAAGCTGAAAGGTAAATCTGCTACTCTGGTGACTCGATCCCTCTGGTCATTGTTCTCCAACCCTCGATTGTCTACTGAATATTCAGGGAAGAATTATGGAAGAGTAATAACGAGACACACACAAGTTGCTTTCCAAAAGTCTTCACGCAATGTATTCAAATGTTTTGTATTTATACAGTGTTTGACACGAACATTGGTTACAAAAAATGCATACCAAGGAAATAGTTCCTGCTGTTACATGCAATAATCTATTCTTATAAAATATCACATATACATAGTGGCTAAGCGCATCCTGTTAAATAGAAACTGTTATAGCTTGTGACTTCCTTTCAGTTATGTTTTGTAAGCGGTTCTTGCTACTATATTTGCAAAATAATTCAACTAATGGAATACTAACTTATTAACTGTTTCAATTCCTTTCACTTACGCCCCGACGGGCCCCGCTGAAGTCAACCCAGTGACCACCCGTATCCAGACTCGTGCTGCCAGAACCGTCCCACCTGCTGCTAAGACCCAGGTAAGATTATCTCCCCCGACATGTACTGTGGACCAGGCCCCCTTGGTTGGGATACCCCAGAGGAGTTTGGGAGGGAAACCAGGGAGGACCCGACCTTAGAAAAGTATAGGTTGAAAGCAGATGCCAAGGAGGAGGGGGTACATGGGGAGCATTTTGAGTGGGTGGGGGATAGACTGTATAGGATCCCTAAACCATCCCAGAGGAGTAAAGCCCCTTCGCAGAAATGCCAGCTGGTGATACCTGCGAAAATCCTGCAGGACATCTAGGGGCCCATCGCCAAGCCTACAGGATTATACAGAATTTCTTTTGGCCCAATTTCAACCAGGCTGTGCGACACTACTGTAATACGTGTGACACATGTCCCCGGGTAGGTAAGAGGGGGGACCACCCTAAGACCAGACTTGTGTCTATGCCTATTATTGGGGAGCCCTTCTCCCATATAGCCGTTGACATTGTGGGTCCACTGGCTAGGCCCAGTCCATCCGGGAATAAGTATATTCTCACCGTGGTGGACTATGCCACCCGTTACCCAGAGGCAGTAGCTCTGTCCAATATTGAAGCAGAGACAGTAGCTGATGCCCTGGTTAAGATATTTACTAGAGTGGGGTTCCCTAAGGAGATTCTCTCTGACCAGGGAACCCAGTTTACCGCTGTGCTCACCCAGCAGTTGTGGGAAGTGAGCAAGATTAAGCCCTTGCTTAGCTCACCCTACCACCCACAGACTAATGGCTTCTGCAAGTGCTTTACTCGCACCCTCAAGCAAATGCTGAGAACCTTTATTTATGCTTCCAGAGACTGGAAGAGATTCCTGACTCACCTGTTGTTTACATACAGAGAGGTACTGCAGGAATCTACTGGGTTCTCTCCCTTCGAGTTGCTCTATGGGAGAAGGGTCCGCAGACTCCTAGACCTCATTAGAGGACACTGGGAGGGAGAGACAGAGCAGGAGGGGGACCCCCATAGTACCATATGTTCTGGAACTTAGGGACTGCACAACTGTCGCTGATGGTAAGAGAGAATCTCCAGGCAGCCCAGGGGAGACAGAAAAGATGGTATGATTGGGGTGCCCGACAGCATATTTTCCAGGTTGGCCAGAAAGTCCTGGTACTCAAGCCTGTGAAGATAAGATGCAGGTGTGACAAGACCAATCTCGCTGTCAGGGTCCCGCGGGCGGCTGCGAGGGGAGGTTGCAGTCCGCTCGCGGCACTCACCCTCCAGCCGTCCGCGGTCCCCCTTCAGCCGTGTGCTCGGCGGGCGGCACCCTCTCTCCCACGGGTGCCGTCCGCCTCTTCCTCTGTGTCTCCCAGCGGCAGCATGCATGACGCTGCACGCTGGGAGACCGCCCACTTTAACCAACGCCGGGGTCAGTCACCTGACCCGGCGTTAAAGGCACAGTGCCTCAATCACAGTGGGAGGTTTAGATATCTCCCACGTGTGATTGTTAATTCTGATTGGAAATTATCCAATCAGAATTAACCTTTGGATTTATATACTTACCTTTCCTGTTCCTCTTCGCCCTGTTGTGGTCTTTGCTTGTTAGTATTGATTCTGAACTTGTGCTTCTGGTTACGTACTCTCTGGCTTGTTATCCGACTCTGTGACTTTCTCCTACCCTTTGACCTCGGCTTGTCTATCGTTATTCTGTCTTCTGGTTCCCCTTACTCGGCTTGTTTCCTGACTATTCTTTGTGTGCTTAGCCCGGCCACTCTAAGGTCCGGTACGGCACTTTGTGTGTGTGTGTGTGTGTTGGCGTGTTTGGTTCCCCGAATCGTGACATTACAACAGGGCCATAATGGAACCTGCTGACATACCACAGCTCCTAGTTAATCAGGAGGCTAGAATGGATGGCTTGGACCACCGTATGGACCAGTTTGCCCAAGCTTTACAAACCATACTGGCTCGTACTGCACACTTGCAACCTGCCGTCCAGGAGGCTGCTGCTGCTGTGCCCGAACCCATTCCCACTCCGGTACCCGTTCCTGCTCATGTTGTTCACATGACACCGCCACAACGCTACAGCGGTGACCCAGCATTGTGTTGTGGTTTCCTTAACCAAATTGACATCCATTTGGTGATGAATCCACGTTCCTATCCCACTGACAGATCCAAAATTGCCTTTTTGATTAACCACCTGTCCGGGAAAGCTTTAGCATGGGCTAACCCCATGTGGGAGAATACATCTCCTATGTCCTTTGTAGAGTTCTTGACAGCTTTCAAACGTACGTTCGATCAACCCGGTAGGGTTGCCTCTGCTGGCAAAGCTCTGCTTAGGGTACGACAGGGTAATAGATCTGTAGCGGATTATACTATCGAATTCCGCACACTAGCAGCTGAAGTGGTTTGGAATAATGATGCCCTCGTAACAGCCTTTCAGGAGGGTTTGGCCGCCTACATACTGGATGAAATAGCATCCAGGGAATTGCCTGTTCTTCTAGATGATGTCATAGATTATGTCATTCTTATTGATAACCGTATTAGAGAGAGGCGTAGTCAAAGACGGATGGATACACGGGCATTACCTGCTCCCCGCTCTACTGCTTTACTAGCACTACCCGCTCCTAGTCAACCAACCCCCGAACCCATGCAATTGGGTGCTACGGGGCTAACTGAGGCTGAAAGAGCATATCGTAGAAGGGAGGGGTTATGCCTTTATTGTGGAAAGAGGGGGCACCACTGTAATGCCTGCCCTAAGTTACAGGGAAACTACAGCACCTAAGGCCTAGAGAGGGGTCGGCCTCGGGTGTTATGACTTTGTCCCCTCATGTGTCCATCTCCAGACCGTTTATTACGGTTTCTCTTTTGGTCAATAAAACCACCATAACCACCAAAGCCTTGATCGATTCAGGTGCGGCAGACAACCTTATGGATGAGAACTTTGCTAAAACCGCAGCCTTAACTTTGATCCAAAAGGCCACACCCTTGGTCGTTGAGGCCATAGATGGTAGACCACTTAAGAAACCTCTGGTGACCCATGAGACCCAAGAAATAGTGATGTCTGTGGGTGTTTTGCATAAGGAAAGGTTAACCTTCCAAATAATTGACTCCCCTACTGCTTCCATCGTTCTGGGTTTTCCCTGGTTAGTGAAACACAACCCTGTTCTCGATTGGGGTTGCTTGGATATACTATCCTGGGGGGAATCCTGTCAACGAGACTGTATGGCTCAGGTACGTCCTGTTTGTTTACTCAACGTGCCCACGGCTAAACCACTCTCTGTTTCTGTCCCTTCTGTATATGCAGATCTTGCATTGGTTTTTGAAAAGAGGGAGGCAGATAAACTACCTCCACATCGTGACTATGACTGTGCCATAAACCTTTTACCGGGCACTATACCCCCTAGGGGTAAGGTCTACCCTCTTTCTGAGAAAGAAAACCAGGTCATGGAGGAGTACATACGAGAATCCTTAAGGAAAGGTTTTATTAGAAGGTCCTCCTCTCCTGCTGGTGCTGGTTTCTTTTTTGTGGCAAAGAAGGAGGGCGATTTGAGGCCGTGTATAGACTACAGGGGTCTGAACAATATAACGGTTAAAAACGCCTACCCTATCCCCCTCATCACTGAGTTGTTTGACCGCGTTAAAGGTTCTAAGTACTTTACTAAACTAGACCTCAGGGGAGCTTATAACCTTATCCGTATAAAGGAGAATGATGAGTGGAAGACAGCGTTCAATACGCGTAGTGGGCATTATGAATACCTGGTCATGCCTTTTGGACTGTGTAATGCTCCTGCTGTGTTTCAGGATCTCATAAATGATGTCCTTAGGGATCTATTGCATGTCTGTGCCGTGGTGTACCTTGACGACATACTTGTATATTCTCCTGATTTGAAGTCACATCATAAACATGTTAGGATGGTGCTTAAAAAATTATTACAGAACGGACTTTATTGTAAGTTAGAAAAATGTCTGTTCAATCAGACCTCTGTGCAATTCCTGGGATATATAATTTCTGA